GAACAGGGATCAGCAATGTACTGCTTATCTAATACATAAATTCTTCCTGTACAATCCAACTTGTGAAGAACCTTACCAAGAAACACAGCATCTCCACGTTTTACAGCTTCAAAGACTTTCTGTTTTGGATCACTGTTTACCTTTGTCAACCGGAAACAAGAGAGAAGCTTACGCTTCGCGCCATAGTGAGGATATATTAATATTTATATTCCCTTCCTGTAACTTTAGCAATTCTCTTCTCTTCATCAATTAATCTTCCCATTTCAGGAACAGACTGTTTTTGACGAATGTGTTCTTTTTGACGTACGAAGCTCGTTCCGAAGAAAAAGGATACTGGGAACGAGGGTGTCTCGCTATAGTCTCCCTAGCCTGTGCCAGGCTCTCAGATAGTACAGTGGGAACGTATTAAAACGAGCAAAGCGAAAATAAGACGCGCACGACTTGGGAAAGGGGGCGGTGTCGTCTCTCCCCAGCCCTCGCGCGTTTTACGCATTTCTTATTACTGAACGACTTTCCACCACCATCTCGGAGCCTGGAACAGGCTATAGTCTCCCTGGTCCCTCCTCTTACCAACACAGGACACCCAAGCTATCATTTGACACTTATATGACCCTATATTTGAGAAAATCTTTAGAACAAAAAGGAAGACGAAGGGGCTAGATAATTTCTTACCTTCCTATGCTGACATTACAAAACTAGCCAGGGAAGACCTCAGTTCAAAATATATGTTTGACTAATTCATTTAATTGCCATTTATTGTCGGGTTATTGTATGGATTCTTGATTTTAATAAAGGCTGTCTTGCATCCCGACCTCAATATCATTGGCTATTTTCTTTGTTTTTGTAATAGAGATTCATTGGGACAAATTCACTCCCCATCATGAACTCCAACTAGTGATAGAAACACACCTGTCCCTAGTTGTTCAAAATGTGGATAGTGCTCCTGGAAAGGTGGAAGGGTTGGAGGGGGGGAGGGTGCGTACTTGGGTTAATGTTTGCTGGGTATGTGCCGCTGGCCTCTCAGAGCCCCTACCCCATTATAGTCTATTTTTTGGCCAACTACAGACCCCATGTTAGTCACTTTTTGGAAAATTTAATTTTCACGATCCCAGCTTAGTCACTTTCTATTTATACATCTACCTTATCAACGTGGTTTCAAGCGGCGGAATGTAATGCGGTCAATGCGAGCTTATTGTTAAATTTAATAAACAACAACTTTCTGATTTTTTAACCGAGAATCTTCCCATTTTGAATCCCCGTACTCACCCCCAAAATCTGAAAATTTGCGACCCCATTATAATAACTCTATTGAAAATGCGATCCCAGTATAGTCACTCCAGTCGTGAAAATGGGACCCCATCCCGCAGCACATCCCTATTAGCCTAGGGATACTGCTATCCACTGGATAAATTACTATCCAAAGGATAGTGCACTTAGTTTTTGTAATTTATTTAGCCTCTGGATAGCGATTTATCCGGCGGATAGCGCTATCCAACTTTTGAACAACAGGGGCTGACGGGTAAAAGTAAAGAACAGCTCTGCCAGACTGTTGACCAACAGTTCACCAACAGCTTCACTAACAGTAGCCTGCAGGACTCAACCTCACATGTTCTCTTCCTCCATCCCATCACTCCCTATGTTCTTTCAATTTCCTGTTCCCAAGCTCCAAGTGGCCAAAAATGACAGCTATACCGGGAAAAAATTAATGAGGTGGGTTGAGAGAGAGCAATGCACAAAAGTTTTCTTGCTTCGGCAGAAAAATATAGATACTTTTCAAGACTCAAACTGTCTTTTTGGCATAGCCAGCATGGAACGCCTAAAAGGGGGAGACCATGGGGAGAAATATACAAAAGAAGGAGGAGGCCCTTTCTACTCGCCCCAATCCCGCCCCCTCCCTTTCTAATATTTATCCTCAATGGTTTAGCTATAATACGCACGAGTGAAAACTAACCAACAAATTAATGAAGTTTTCACAGTGTGACTTTGCTGCTGTCTGTCAAGTTGACCAGAGAAATTACTATATTTATGAATTACTAAGTTTTTTAGGTTAATACTCTAGGAGGTACTCCCTAAACCGGCCTATACTGGGGGGAGGCTCTACCCGAAATGGGTACCCTTTTCAGGTTCCAGGTATTTGAAAGGCAAGGTTTCACAGGTTGAAGTGTGATTGTAAAAAAAAAAAAAGAAAACTTTCTGGTTTAGTGATTAAAAGATGGTGCAATTCACAGCAGTTGAAAGGGATGCAGTGTTCTAAACAAGTACGTGAAAGGGGTACCATCTTTTGACAAAAGGTACACGAAAGGAATACCTTTTATCTCAGAAATGGTATATAAAAGGTCAAGGGATTGGACCTCAGGAGATAGCCCTCCTGGTATAAAATTTTGTTCAGTACCCCCTGGGTTTAGTATTAGACAGTAAAGTTTACTAAATTAACTTGCAGTCAAGCCGGCAAAACTGTGAACACCTGGTGGTCACTGTAACAACACTCGAGACACCCAAGAACATATTCAGTTACAACAAAAACATCAAGTGACTACTGTATATTAAAAGCCAGGAGATAAACGGGGACAACAAAAAATGAATTGAAGCGTTGGTTTAAACCCCGGCACACTTTTCAGACTATTGACATGATTGATTGTATATTAACCAGTTTTAAGAAAAAGATGCAATGTAATACAATAGATATTACAACAGTCACAAAATCAGTTTGGTTTTTACTTTATTCCCGGAACTACGCGGCCTGGTTATGGGGGAACAATCATGAATCTTCAGATTGTTTTCAGTACCAAATATAATCCCCACTTAAATCAAGCTACCTAAAAAAATACTTGCAAAAATTTTCCTACTCAAAAAAATCCTGAAATCGAAAATTTCAAATCCAAAAAAATCCTTCGATCATCCCTGTCAATAATATTGAGATCCAGAGTATTCCCCCCGCCCCCAACCCCGGGTTAAAATGCATAATCATTATACATTTTAATTCATAATAAATACTTCTCCAGTGCTTCAAAAGGTACATCAACCAGAAATATGGAATTCTGTCATTGTAATTTACATACTAAGTAACTGTACTGCTGTAATAGCTTTGTTTAGCTTTGTATTCTTTTGTTTGTACTATATATGTGTGTGCAAACATGTGTGCGTGTGTGTGTGTTTTTCTCTTTCTTAATTTCTATTTTGTATGTAAACGTAAGAAATGCTTTAATTAAAAAATATTAAAAAAAATAAAAAATAAATATGGAATTCCAATTTTTTTTTACAGCGTTGGCACGACACTAATGCCTTTTACCTCTAGTTTTCTTCTTTTAGAGAGAATCACGCGAGCTTTATCAGTTTGAGCCATGTCCATGGGTGTTTTACCGTCTCGGTTGACAAAATCATGATGAGCACCTCCGTCAAACAAAACCTCCAACATGTCAGTTAGATTACGGAAGCTCTTTCTCCTCGTTGGTTTAAAAGTGACAGCTAGGTGAAGAGGAGTATTTCCTCTTCTGTTGATGGCATTAACATTGAATCCTGCATTTAAAAGTAGCTTCATTGCCCCAGTGTAGGAATATGATGGGAATCTGCACTGTTGTATTACAAACTGGTGAAAAAGTGTATTCTCATAACAATCTCGAGGATTAAAGTTGCAGAGAGTTTTCAAAAACAACAAAGCTGCACTTGAGGGTTTGCCATCTTCATCACGGTCAAACTTACTGATCATCAAAATAAGTTTCAACAAGAGTTCATCTTGATTCAACCTACATGCAGCACTGATTCCATGACCTTTCATCTCAGCTCTTTGTATCTCTTGTTCAAAATCATGGATAATTTGGTCAAACCAGTCAACAAAAGCATCCAATTTTACAAGACGAAACCATTTGCACCAAACTATCATGGTTATGGCACGTAAATCATAAAAAATTGTTTGATCGGAACTCTGGGCTATTTTGATTGCACGTCTTTGCAGTGAGAAAAATGATGAAAAATCCTTGTTCTCATGGTAACAAGCAACACATCTAATTTGTGGAAGTAGCTCTACATTGTTTTTTCCAAGTATTCTCTCTCTAACAATCAGGCTTTCCATGACGATCGCATCCTTGTCACGTTTTATCTTTGCAAGTTGTTTAAGAGTCTGACTCTCTGTTCTGTTTTGATAAGCTGCAATAGGTTCTATGTGCTGTTTCAACAAAGGATTGGAAGGATTAGCAAACCTTTCTATCATGCCACGTTTGATGTACATGAATCCTTTGTTAACAAACTTGAACGTAGACACTGAGTAATGCTGCTTTAGAGCAAGGGTTGCTCCAAGTAGTTCTAGTGCATCAATTCTTTGCTCTTTAGTTATTTCAGTCTGCTTGATTATGCATTCTACCACAGTCACATTGCCATTATTACTGGCTAGAAGAAGTGGTGTGAGTCCTTTACTGTTGCACAAGTTGGATGCTCCAGCATTTAAAAGTGCACTTACAATTTGATTTTCAAATAGGTTGCTTTGGGAATACTGAGCATAGTGTAAGGCTGTGTCACCATTTTCATCTTGAAGATCTACATTAGCTCCTTGATCAATAAGAAAAGTTACTGTTTTTAGATAACTTGCCATACAAGCTAGCATCAGAGGGGTGTAACTGTGATGATCACTTCCTCTCAAATTAACATCAGCTCCATTTTTAATTAGGGAACTGATAATTTCGTCTCTTAATGAACTATTATCAAGACCACATTTATACGGCCGCAAAGCATAATGAAGGGCTGTTTGACCACATGGAGAACATTGAAGATGTACTTTAGCTCCATTTTGAAGAAGACAGTTCACTGCTTTGACACAGCCCCATTGACATGCTATCATCAAAGGGGTGACGTTGTGATCTGAATATGCATTGACATCAGCACGGCCACTATTAATCAAAATACGTAAGGCATCAAAATGTTGATTTGCTGCAATGTGAAGAGCGGTAGAGCCACCTTTGACTTGTAAATTTACATCAGCACCTTGATCAACGAGAAATTTGACTGTATCAATATGTTCTCTTCCAATTGCCATCGTCAGAGGACTGTAACTTCTGTCCATATGTGGATCCACGAAGTCTCTTGTCACTGCATTCAGCTGCATTGACATCAGCTCCATTTTCAACCAAGTAAGTCAAAACATCGAGATATCCATTGGCAGCCGCAGCAAACAAGGGTGTGCAACGTTGAAAAGGAAAATTACGAAACCTTCTTTCCCCACAATCAAAAGAGTATGCTTGACCTTCGATGTCTGCTCCATACTTCAGAAGTACTTTCACACAGTCAAGATTTCCATTTCGAACAGCACTTATCAATGGTGTGTCTTCTGAATTTTCATCAACAGCTAACAAAGCAATTCTTTCTGTACAATCCATTTCCTGAAGAACTTCATTAAGGAGCACAGCATCTGCAGATTTTGTAGCTTCAAAGACCTTCTCTTTTGGGTCATGTGAGTATACGTTAAAGTTTGACCTGTTTGTTCTTCTCCGTCGAAAGCGTTTGAAGTTTGACCCGTTTGTTCTTCTCCGTCGAAAGCAAGAAAGGAGCTTTTCGGCCATAGTAAGAATAAGTTGCTCTTTCCGGAACAAGTTCCTACAATTTTTGTGCCAATACTATCTTCAATGACTCAGTTATTACGCAAAAAGGATGCCTTGCTGTGGCCGAAGACCCTGGGGATGAAATTGCCCTGGGAACGAGGGTCGGAGTCACGCAATGCATGTTGATGTTGGCACGCTTCTCTTTTTTTGTAGACATGCAGAATACTGCAATGCTGATCGTACTACCGTACGTGAAAATTAACTCTGCAATACATTAACACGACACCGAAAGAACTCAAAACAGAGCGGGATTGTAGCCGTAGACAGCTGTTTTGTCCTCTTTGGGGCTCGTCAGTATGGCGTAACCAGAGATCAGGCTCTGATGAAAAAATATCCGCGCACTCTGATTTTAGCCCCCGGGGGGCGGGGGGTACTCCCATACATTACATGTGCCGCCCAACGGGGTCGTGATTTTGAAGCTCCTGATTTAGAAAGGGGTATCCATTTCAGAGGCGTTTTCTAGAACGGGGTATAAAAAATTCTGGATCGCGGCTTTATCTTCTGCTTAGCCTGTTCCAAGCGTTCAGATAGTGGAGAGCGGTGCGAAGTAAAGAAAGCGGTGCGAAGTAAAGAAAGCGATGAAAAGTAGAGGGGGACTGGGGAGAGAGGTGCGGGAACTTCCCTCTCTCACCTCTTCCCCTCCCTCGCTTTTATTTTTTCGCGCTCCTTTTTACTTCGCATCGCTCCCCACTATCGGAACGCCTGGAACAGGCTAGCGTGCGCGCGACCGTGGCAGCGCGAGAAGCCTCTTCCGTCTTAAACCTTCAGTCTTGCGCTTTGTCATTTTTGTTCCAACAAGTTTCGCTCGACGGACTAACAAAGAAGAGAGACTACTCGTAGTCTAAGATCAACTTCACAGATCAATTTTCTTCCATTAAATTTTGAAGGTAAACCGTTTTGATGCCAAAGAAAAGTGGCCTTGATTCTGTTCTATTAATTCAATTGAATGAATTCTAATTGCAGCAGTATTTTGCTGAAGTAATATTTTTTGACAGTTAAATGATGTTTATGAATTGAAGTTAGTTAAAAAGGTGTTAAAGATATCCAATGCAATCATTAAAATGAGTTTTTGTACATGTATCTTAGTTCATTCGTCACTAGAAGGGCACTTGCCGGTACATCTCTGTACTCAATAATAATAATTCTAATAACAATTATTATTATCATTATAATTATTATTATAATTTTTGTTATTATTATTATCATTATCATTATCATTATCATTATTATAGATTTATAGACCATTTTTTCTCCAGGATTCACAAAAGCTGAAAATGTCATTCATGCCAAAAATGCCATTCAAAGGTTCTTATAAAAGCTGTCTTCAGGACACGATGTTGACAAAAAAGAAACAGAACTGTTCAATTTTGTGAGTGAGGACATCACGCTCGCGATTCAGGCGGGCCTACAGACGCGCCTTTCAGTTGGGTTATGCGCAGACAGCAAAATAGAAAAAGCTTGACGAAAAAAACCATGTTCTATATATTAAAATCCTAACATGACTCCAAGAGACAAAATTGCAAATTTTTCATGACTCCATCGGCTTGCAATTCTTAAGAGACTTGAGCACAAAGGAAACCAAACCAAATATAGAAATATGACCATAAAGCCTCGGAGTCACGTTAGAGTTTTAATATATTGAATGTGGGCTATTAACTTTTACCTTCTTTCCCCACCAGTTTTGCCTTAGCGAGGAGAGAATTTTGGGAGGGAGGCGCTACTGTCCCCATATAGCCTGCATAGCAAGCGTTTGCGTGTGGTTTCGAAGCAAAGAAAGACCAAGGAACAACGAGGGGGGGAATGGGATTTTTGGTTTTGGCCGCAAGAAAAATGGAACAAAAGCCAAAATATAAAAGAGGGGGGAGGGAGAGGGGAAGGACCCTACCCCCTCCCCGCTCTTTTACTCACCCCATTTTACGTGTGGTCTTTGACTCTCGTTCCTTGTTCTTAGCTCAAAAACTACACCGAAATGCTTGCTATGCAGGCTATCCCCTGTACAAACTCTTTTTCCTTTTTAAACAAGGGAATCACACGTGCTTCTTTCCAAGCATCTAAAGCACCTAGAACAGAAGCATTAATGACTGCTGTAAAAGTGTTTGTGATAATAGCAGCACTATCTGATGAGGAGGAATGAAAATTTTTTATGAGCAAGACAAATAATCATGGTAGATCAAATGAACCGATGAATCCACTTGGGACAAGGATTCATCGACGGTTCATTTGATCTACCATGATCTGAGTCAGGGTGAATAGAAAATCATTTTTACAGCTTGCCATTTGGGCAAGCTAAAGCTAAAATTTACTACCCCAGACTTCATTTCAACTAGCCCCAAAAGCTTTTTGACGACCAGAATTGATTTCACAGTTCATCTGCTATTCGAATTCCTCAAAAAAACATCACTTGCCCATCAGGCAACTTAAAAACAGAATTCATGAGCCCGATAGCAAAATCCACTAGCCCCAGGCTATCGGATATGGTCAGCCATTTGTTTCAAAATTATGACACGATATACGTGCGGTTTTTTCCCACGTATACTTGCAATCATTCCTGCTACACGATATACGTGCGTTTTATTCCCAAGTATATGACCATTTTCTTACAAACGCGCATATATATGCGCACAAAAAAAACCATATATATGCCTTACGAACAAACATGTGTATACGGGGTTTCATTAAAACTGAATCATTGGATAATGTAATTCTAGCATTTTGATTGGCTTAGCCGTTATGGTATATGAGCTATTATACCATGCTCTCCATGTATGGTCAATGTACGCGTCAGTTTAAAATTGGAAGCTAGCTGAGATTTTTCTTCGTGAAGGATAGAACGGCGCCCGAAGCAAATTGTTTTAATTCATTTCTTAGAATACTAGAAATGCAATTTCATGGAAAGAAAAAAGACAAAAACAAACAAAAAAGCCACAAGAGCTTGTTTGAAAGTTTGTTGAAAAACACATGAAAATACATGGAACTAAAGTACCTTGACAAGCTACGAAAAAAGACAAGTGTTGTTTCTTCGTGATCGCGAAGTCATTCGCCGATCGAGTCACTCGCCGATAGATAACTGCGGCTTGTTTATTCGACATGAAATGAATATAAATCACATGTAACCAGCTACAATTACAGGCTATGCAGCCATTCACTAGAGCAATCGAGGCGGCAGTATAGCTTCTTTTCTTGTTCAGCAAAACCAGCTTGTGGCTTCAAACAACTTCATAACAAGCGACCGAGGTAATAGTTTTTCTCCGTTGTTCTTACTTTTGTAACTGCACCGAAAATCCAAATTCACAGTAATTTCGACGGCTGTCACTTAAAAAAATTCTTTTCCTTCACATTATCTGCCAGGTTTTTTTAGCTGTCCTGCTGTGTAAAATCCTAGAATCCCGATGAGTTTTTAAAAAATTAATGTTCATCGCTGCAATGTTTTGATTTTTCATTCATGCAGTCCAGGTGAGTCCATTCGCGCGTTGACAGTTTTGATAGATGTGTGACATGTGAATAGTGGAAGTCCCTTGTCTTTTCCAGTTTGTTCTAGTAGAGGAGATTCAACGAGTTTTTGTGGGCGTTTTTAATAAAACAATTATTCCACTCGCGGTTGTTGGATATGAGATGATTATAGTCAACTCGGCGCTACGCGCCTTGTTGGCTATCTATCATCTCATATCCAACGCGCCCTCGTGGAATAATTGTGAAATAGCAGGTCGTCGTATAAGAGGCATCGAATTATACAGTCGGTAATAAACCTACTTCATGTACGATAGAGCCGGAAAGTAACTTCAGTTTGGCGCCAAAATTTCCACGTGAGACTTCCCAATCATGGCGGAGGTTCCTTGTCCATCGATGGAAGTAGCAGCCACTGTATCTCGAGTGTTGATTCGCCCAGTGTCGCAAAGACAAGGAGGAAAGGTAATAAGTTGCGATTTTTTAGAATAGCAACGCCCAAAGCACAGAATGTAAGGTATAGCACTTACGCTGAAGTTTACGTTTTCTTCTAGTTTTTCGCTCTGCCTCGGACATTTGAAGAACTCAGGAGAGAAGTTGCCAGGGAATTTGGTGTCTCAGAGACCTTAACGATTTTTAATCAAGACCGTGGTGAAATAAAAGATGTAACTTTGTTACGGTATGTACGTGTAGTTTAGTCATCTCTTGTAAAACTTATTAATCACAAGTCTGACCTGTTCATATATTTACAGGTAACTCATAAGTTGTATCCCTTATTTCAGAGATGGTGATATTTTGTATTACGGAGAAAAGGAAAGGCAACATTTGTCCACGAACAATTCGGATCAGTCAGGTCAGTAGTTTTTTCATGACATGTACTTGTACCTTTTGTACTAAGGTACACCTGTCATCTTTTTCTGAGTCAAGTGCGTGAGATTTTCATTCTTTCACGACCAGAATTTCCGAACGTCCAAGCGACTTCTGAATAGAGGGCTGTCATTAAGGGCCGGGCTACTCTAAACATAATCCTTGGTTACTTACATAGGGAAATAGAGGAAAATAGAACATAAGAAATAGCTGTTTGGTTCCCCGCCTACTCCTTGTATGTTAGCTGGCTAGTTGAATCTTTGTGACAGCCTGACGAATAAGTTGATGATTTTCTTTAGATTTCCGAACGTCACCAAACATGTTCGAAGTTGTTCCGTCGACCTTTGAGCACTTCCAAAGCTATTCCAAATGCAACCTTCCTAGGGGCCAACTAGTTCAACTTTTGAGGGGGGGGGGGGTAGAGGGTATGGGTGATTTAAAAAAAAATTATCCTATTATATGTTTTCTTGTTTGCCATAGGACCTTGACATAAGATTGCTTTTTACTGTTATTATTTAACTGATGGAGTCACATTGACCACTATTTGAGCCTTCTAATATGCATAATTTACTAGTTGCTGATGCCTTGCGGAATATATTTGGTGGAGACCATCAAGAGTCAGTGGCCAGTTTCAGCACAACAGTTGACCAAGCAAGATCCAATGTGAGCCACCTCATGAGGAGTTACCGGTATTGCCAGAATGGACCAATATCTCGAAGGCAAAGAGCATCTCAGAGACGAACATCTAGACTTCCTTTTAGCCGGCCCACAGCCACACCTCAGAAAAAGAGAAAAGTAGTGCAGGGTCTTTGCTATTACACAGTCATGGAGAGACCAGATGAACCATGGCAATATAAGTCCTTTCAAGAACTGTGGGAAGGGAACATAGAGTACCAAGAGCAAAGCTCTGTGTCAGAAATCCTCAGTGCTATTTGTGACGCTATACAATAGTTCTCCACCTGTTAACAAGCCACATACCTCACCACTGACACCTAAACAAGTACGTTTTATTCAACGAAAAAATGTTAAAATAACAACCAGACCGTCTGCTGTTTATGATGGGCAGGGGATTTCCTGTAACTACAGACAAAGTTGCATCTACATTGAAATTATGAGAGATGAAGAGATTAATCCACAAACTACTAGTAACAGTTCATCTACCAGCAACATTGATGTAAGTTTTGTCCAGTAATAATGTTTCAGCTACAAATATTTTACAAAAAAATTACCTGAAAAATTCATACTGGTGCAACAATAGTATTTATTAGTTAATTGCTCAGCTGATATTAAACAATATTAAACACATCTTCTGGCGCTCCTGTCTGGCCCTTTAAATTCTGTTTGATGTAAAGAAACATGTTTTGCAGAGTTGGAGCCTACATGTATTTATACCGATGTTCAGATACAGGCAAGGTCTGGACATTATTTTAATGTTATAACATGGTCTCTTGTGGTATTCCACTTTTAAAACTTGAAACACAACAAATTTTTTGGTTGTAAACTCTTTTTTTCAGGTTTCTAATGCCTGTAGGACACCTACCAACACATCCACAGCAAGCAGCACAACACAGTCATCCCTCTGTGATTACTTCAGCTCATCTGCTGTTCAGGCATCAAGTGCACCAAGAAGAAGTCAAGCAATGGATTGCAACCAGATTATTGGTTTGTCTTGCTTCATGAATATTTGTTATTGTTATGTATTCCTTACATTCCTTGATGAGATAAAAATATTAATAATAATAATAATAATATAATAATAATAATAATAATAATAATAATAATGATGATGATGATGATGATGATGATGATGATGATACTAATAATAATGATATTAATAAAAATGATTAATATTAATGATGATGTATTAAGTTTACATTCATTAACCAAATTTTCTTCCTTCTTTGATTGGTATGAAAATGCTTAAAAACTGATGGAAATGGTCAATGTGCAAGCTACAATATTGGAAAAGGTCACACAAAGTCTTTCTTGAACTTGTTTATCTTACATTGTTCCCTTCCATTACAATAAACATTTTGCACTTTAAAAGACTCTACAACCAGTCTCTAGAACGTTTGAGATGTTGTGCTTTACTCATGGCCCTCCTTTCCTCTAACACTTGCGATGACAACTTTGAATCCCTGTGAGGTAGTTTTTTTAACAAATGTCACAACCATTTGGAAACTGGTTGTACTTGGCCTCTTAATTTTTAGGTAAGGCTAAGCTACACTACCTCTTAGTGTATGAGAAAACAGTAAGTGGGAAAATGCATGTAAAACTCTAAGTAACAAATAACTATGATGATTTTCAGTCAGTTGAATTTTGATTGAAAACTGCAATTGGTGGCTGTTAATTTTAGTGGTATCAATTATTTAACAGTTAATGAATGAGGCTGAGTATCTTATGAAGAATTATGGAGATCGAGGAGGGTGTTATCCGTCGAGGCCGTAGGCCGAGGCGGATAACACCCTCCGAGATCTCCATAATTCTTCATATGATACGAAAGCCGAATTCAATAACTGTTTTATTATTCATTCAAAATAATTCCTAGTTTAAAAACATAGCTAAAACATGCTTACCTCCATCGATCCATCGATGTTCAGTTCATCTTCGATACTGTACGTTTAGGTTTGTCCAGCTCCGCAAATATTCTCCAGATAGCAGATGTCGCCCTTCGAGTTGTCTTCTTGCTGTTCTTTCCATGTTTTTAGCTATGTTTTCGCCTAGTCCTTACTCTTGAAACGGGTGAAATGTCCGCCATTTTTTCAAGTTCCCAACCAAACCAACTCAACCTCGTCCCCAGGTCTTCTCGGTTAACGGTGCCTTAACCTGCGAAAAGCTGCATTTTTGACGTCATTTCCTCATTAAAGTCAAATTTCTTCCAAATTTGGTCAACAGTAACTGGTTATGGTGAATTAAACGTGTGCTTTTAGCCAATCAGAATCGGAGAAATATTTTGAATGAATAATAATATATTTTTTTGTATGTTAGTCAATCTGGCTACTTCTTAACAATAAATTTTATCTTGTCATTCACCATGATCTGTCATTTTTTTGTTTGCTTTTAGATGTTGATGGGCCTGGACCCAGTTACATGGAAGCAAGTACCTTGATAGTTTCCCCGGAATTGTTACTTTCCCAAACATGTATATCTGAGCAATTTAAGTAAATTGGAAACCCATAAAGAAATGTTTCCAGGTGTAAATGATGTGGATGTGGCAGAAATTTTGAAGTCTTCAGCAAGCCTTGAAGAAGCGACAAATCGAATCCTGGATTGCTCACATGCTGAAGAAAACATCTTGAATGAAACAGGTATTTGACAAAATTTCATATTTTCTACAATATTTCTTTCCTGGGCAAGGGTGATTAAATGACCCCTCAGCAAAAGTAGTGAAAGCTCTGAGAACCCAATGTTGATAATGTCCCTGGATTTGAGATATTACAAATGCTGACATTACTACGTGATATATGTGAAAATTATTGATAACACATCTAGAGTACAGTACATAGTATTTTAGATATTTTGTTTTGTCACAGATGCTGTGTTTGAATACCCCCTGTAAATACTAAGTAGAGAGTACTTGAACAACACATTGTAGTCGCAAAGTGCCTGTAAGTTGTTGTTTTGGAATGCAATGTTTACCTCAATCTTTTATATGATTTTTCAGAAAATGAAGGTGATGACTTTCCACTATCCGTGTGCAACGGCAGTCTCCCCTGTTAGTGAGAGAATTATCTTAGATGATGAAGGGAGGGGAGATAGACATTAGAAGAGAATTGGATATTGAGTTTGTTGATGAGGATGGAATAGATGCCAAGGGTTTGACGAGAGAGTATCTCAACCTTGTTCTTCAAAGCATGACAGATGGCACAGGCGGTTATGTTTTATTTGAAGGTAGGGAAATGTTAGGCAACTGAACACTTTTAGAATGTAGGTATGTACATGTATTTAGTTACTTGCCTTCTATTGTGAATGGTAAATTGCAATGGTATTGTGTCACTGGGACTGGGTAAAAACAATAAATGCATTCGTGATAGACATTAAAAAAAGATGTATCAAAACCTATTTGCATCAGACAAATGGAAGTTGTGTCCGTCAATATAACTTACTACATGAAGTAAACCTAATTGAAATGTGTAAATGATATTAAATATAGAAGAGTATGGGCTCTTATCCCAAATCATTACTTAATTTAGATGCATCCCACATACATAATAATACGTTACCATGTATTCTATAACCAACAATAAAAAAAATGAAACGTAGATGTTTTAAAATCAGTTCTCAGCCCTACAATGTAAACTGTAGTCCAAGAATGTTTTTTTTTTTCTGCCTTCTTAATAATCATACTGCAATTCTCCACCTGACATTCAGTATTCAACTACAATAAGGTCTTATATCCTGTCGACCTTATGCACATAAGGTGCACAGTAATATTTGTACAGCTAACAGGAATGATTGTAGAAATAATCTGAATTTCCCAACTTATTAATAGACCAAGACTAAGTAACTAACATAAATTTTATTAATAGGAGACAGAGATCACCTGTTGCCAGTTCACAAAGAAGAATACTTGCAGAGTGGCTATTTTGTCTATGTTGGGAAAGTAATTGCTTTGACAGTTGTTCAAGGAGGAAGTGGATTGCAGTGGTGGGATTGTCCAGAGCTTTCTCTCGTTATTTGGTCACTTGGGGATATAGCATCTTCTTTAACAGAGCTGACCATTTCTGATATACCTGACTTGACTGTTCGAATGTGTTTACAGGAGGTAAAGTCTTGTCAATCAAACCTTTGTGCATAATTACATCACGAAATTTAATTAATTTTCTAATTTTATTTAGCCTTTCTGTCCCTCGTGATGATACCCAACAATTCTCAATACCTTGCCACTTGAAAAATTCCCTTGGGTTTTGTCAGTTAGTCGCTAGCACAACAACGGCAGTGGGAAGGTACAAGAGTGGAAATTTCCTAAGAATAACTTGCAACATTGGGAGATAAACATGTGACCTTGAAAAATTTATAGTTATTGCATGACAGTCTGTTGATTGTAATAATTACAAATTTATGTTGATGCTTAAACAATAGGGACCTTAAGCATCGACAACGAAACGGACGACGACGACGCCTCGTAACCGAGACAGACTGGGCCAAGGGTTTCGTTTTCGGCGGGGAAAACGAAGTTTAAGCAGTGCAGCTTCCCAGACACACGACGACTTTTTCTTTGCGAAGAAGTTTGTCTTGTTGGAGTCTTGTTATGGCATTCAAAGGCCTCCGCAATTTGCACCTCATAAGCTATGACGATGGTTAAATCGACGATGGCGAATTAATTGTTCTTTACGACCTGTATTATTCGATTTTGGAGGCTTTCTCTCTGTTTTTGTTTTGAAGTTAGAGTGAATCCCGATCTCGAACAGCTCTTGACTTGCAGTTACTCTAAATTTCGGCTGCTGAAGAGAATTCAGTGCTGCTGCAATTCTCCCATATTTGTCCTATGTCAGGGCTCCTCATAACCACATCATGTTCCGGAGTCCACTGTTGGAAATAGTTGCCTTTACTAACGGCAAAAAAACATGGGAAATTATTAAATTTTAGTACGAAAAATTGAACATTTATCCTTTAGTACAACCTAAAATGCACGAGTAAACATAGACCGTCGGGAAAAGAACAGCATCTAATCTAACAGGTTCGGAAGCTGGAAGAGGACAGCTTACTTGTTTTTCCGACTGGTAGTTCCGCCATCACTCAGGTTTTCAAACAAACCGAACCTGAAAAATAAATTCAAGTTAGCAGGCGAAGAAATCGACAAAGTGCTTAACATTTGGATTCTGCTAATCCACAAAGAATATATTTCTACTTGTACAGAATGACAAGGGGAAAAAAGAGTGATTTACACGCAAAAAGTATAGTTTTATACTTACGTTTTAGCGACGACGGCAAACCTCCCTGAATTTCGTCGTCGACGAAGCCTGGACGACGTTTTGACAACCTTACGCATGCCCAGAAGGTTCGCGCGGGAAAATTTCATTTCCGGTCGGCGTCGTCGTCCCATTTCGTCGTCGATGCTTAAGGTCCCTATTAACTCATATGAAGCCTGGTCCCAACAAAATGTCTTCTTTAAGAAGAAAGCATAACAACCTTGTATAAATATTGTTTGTTTCCAATGATATATAGATTGAGAATGCCTCAGATGATGACACCCTTCAAGTGCTTCAAGGAAGGGATGATATCCAATTCTTGATGGCTCAAGCAGGGTTTGCGAATGAATTTCTCACATTAAAGAGCAAGATAAGAGCAGTCCAGCATGTTATGCTTCACCAAGTATTTAAATTGCGACGTGACGAAATTGATGCTATCCGCACTGGATTGGATTCTGTAAACTTGACAGAATTTCTCCTTATAAATGAAAGCTGTATTCCTATGGTGTTCCCATTAACTAGTGATATATCATACACAACTAAAGACGTACAGGAAAGCATCACAGTAGCTGACGAAACAACTTTGACTGCACATGAAATTCAAGTGGTTGAATGGTTCCGTACTTACATTGATGAACTTCCAGAGTGCAGTGAGTAGTACATGTAGTTGCTTACAGTCTATGTCATTGTTTATCCTAACAGGTTATCATCTGGGGAGCTAGGCCTTCTAGTGAGAGAATGTTAAAGCTATACTGACATTTCATAATGGGGTTTACCAAAAATTCAAATGCCCAAAAGAAGCAAAGTGCTTCATTTTGCTACAGTGGAGGCTTCTGCATGTAATGTGCACTGGTATGGAGAGATCCCTTCAGAACTGTTTGTTGTCTTAAGCAAAATTCACTCAAGCGTGCATCTATAATATTGATTTCATAAATCACTGATCAGTTCGTTTTCAGTTTGCATTTCAGAACAACGCGAATAAAAGCATTTTTCAATGCACGCACTGAACCAGTCGTGTCCTCCCCCTAATTTTTCAGTGTTGCTGTAGCCATTTGTACTCTCATGTTGCAATTGTATTAGCCAGTTCCTATATTTCCAAGGAAAATGAACTTATGATTTGCCTACATTGTAAAATGATTGACCTGAAGGTAGCCTGAGTATCAGGCGTTTCTGGGGAAAAGGGGAAAGATGGAAGCGAAAAAGGGAGAGAGCTGAAGGAGAGAAACGCCTGCCACAGACGCTTTTACTGGAGCCTTCCACCCCCACACAGCATGATTCGATACCATCCAATCAAAATCACTTCCGGTCATTGGGTTGTCAGCTTCACGTGTCAAAAATCTCGCCTAAAATAAATCTCACTTTACGGTCTGACCGAGCTCCGGTGCTTGTGTTGCTACGATTTCGCTTTTTTCTGAAACCTCCAATGAGGAGTTTTCGAATACTTGTAATGTAAAACCTGCCGTTTTTGAGGAATTATAACATGTTTTAGGAATTGTGCTAGTGTACGATCGCCAACGCTCTGTTTGTAAATAAACGGATGCCCGGAAAATTGTAAATTGCTTTTGTTTACAGAGTTACATCAGGCGTTTGTCTGGCAGTTAAAAAGCTGATGTTATCCCTCGTATTCTCTGGTGGTTAAAAGGAGCTGCAAGAATAAATAGGAAGGTGCGATGGTGAAACACCTATGTCTAGAAATTATCAAGCAGCAGCAAATTCCACCACTTCACAGAGAGCTCGTGAAAGCTGTTACCAGTTCAAAAAGAAGTGAGAGCGTATAGCAAAGGTCAATCCCGTTGGCGAAATATGATGACGCCCGCTTGAGCTTAAGACATTTCTGAAAGTGAGAAAATTTTGGAAGAGGAAGCGAACGAATTCTAATCACGTACGCTATCGTAACCGCCACAAGCAAAGTCAACCTTTTCAAAAGCATTGGTGCTGTCAGCTATCCCTCGCTCTATTTTCATTTACAGTGACAATACCATTTTAACGGCAGGATGTTGTAAATCAGAACTTAGATATCTGAAACACTGATATCGTCTTCTTTGTCCCGGTCTTGTGAAACCAATACTCGGACATAGTTTCGGCAGAAGCTGGTATATGACGCTTTTCCATACTCCGCGAAAACACAATTCTTGCTCGGGTTTTATTTTTATTCCAGGAAAGAACTTGAGAGCGACCTCTTTTTAGAGCCTTTTTGAATTCCTCTCTGCGTCTCTGTCCATGAAAGTATCACATACCGGTAACATGAAATCAAAACATCTATGAAAAATTTCAATGGGTTCTCCATGCCGATCGCTCTTGCGGTCGGTGACGTCAGGGGGTATTGTGTGTTATCCAATCACTGCCACATCCAGATTTTGGATGTGTCACACGATTTGCTGAATGGTTTTGTGTCAGGCCTTCCTTTCTCTTCTCCCCCTCCCCCTTCCCCCATCTAAAATTTCCTCTCCCCTAGCCCCTTAGGAAGGCCTGATACTCAGGCTAACCTGAAGGATTTAAACATTGTGTACAAGTGTCCAAACCAACATTGTAGCAGTTAAAGTATTTGTCTCCTCTTTACGTTTATAAGATAAAGTTGAAGATGTGTTTTGTTAAAGGGAAGAAAATCAATGAGGCCATTTGTTTTTTTCATTCCAGACAAACAGACAGGCACTGTCAATGGCACAGTCAGTGAAACAACCTCTGAGCTGTCAGGTTTACCAACACTGAAGAATGTCATTCAGTTTGTTTTTGGTGATCCATTTCTCCCAAAGGGTACCAAACTGAAGTTTAGTTTCCGAGGGTCACATTTTCCAGATGCAGATTCATGTTTTGGGATTCTGCATTTACCCTGTGACCATGAGAATTACAGTTCTTTCAAAAGGGCAATGAACAGCTGCATAAATTGCCAGTTTGTCGGATATGGAAGAGGATGAATCTATTAGAGAATAGATTTTACAGAATTTGAATGTGAATATTTTTGTTGAGTTCAAAGGGTGTTTCAATAAAAAAGGTTTGAGGAAATAGGTTTTTACAATATACAGCTTCAAGACTTCTTACTGTGATGACAGTGACTTACTGTTTATATATATTGCATACCAGCTTTTCTGTATTCATATTTTAGACCATTAATGACTTATTAGCATTTCCCTTTCTTAAAAAATAACTTGGGTTTCAGTTTTGGTTATCGATGATGCATCGCACATCTCTCAGAACATGTTTCAGTGAATCTGAGCAATTTATGTTGAAATGCATGGACTCTATTGACTATAGCCAGAAGAACGTGACTGGCAGTGTAACTATGTTAAAGTAATACTTCATAACACAGAGAGTAAGAGAGTTTATAATTTAAAAATAAAAGTTACTATTCAGTGTTCTGTGACTGACATCTTTGTAAATACACACTGGATACTTAGCTGCCATGAATTACATCACTTCAAGGGTCAAGAAATGCGTAATATTAACACTTAACAACAAAGATATGTGAAAAAAAGTTTAACATGACGTTTCGATGTTGCCATGACATCATTAACATATTTTCAATTACACATGCAAACATGTTACTTTTGTTTTTATTTTGTCACTTTAAACCATAGACATGTATATTACGTCAGTTTTAGTTTACCTTTGTCACTTCATAATGATGTCATGGTGCATGAAACGCTGTGTTAAACTCTTTCCGCTGAGACAGTTCATTTCATAAATAATCAAAAGTTTAAGTGCAATGCAACTAACACCTAAGTATTTACGCCTGTTGTTGATAACATGAACATTAACATCCCTTCATGTCAAATGCAACTGAGTTTCAGCTCCTTAGTTACGGTTCTGTGCTTGTATGAGTGCCTGAATAATTTCCCGAGTTTCTAGGTAGAGACTGACTCCATAGTCATTACTCTCTGAAAGAGGCTGTATATGTGAAATGGCCTCAAGCTGAGTGCCATTTATAGGAAGAACTGTATCTGGTACCTCAACACTACCCAAGTCAAACTCATTAGGTGGAGGACCTTGTGGGTCTTCTCCATATAGGTCCGAAACTTGACTGTCTTCCTCAAATATATCCCTAACTGCAGTATTTTCAGCATTATCTTGTGAAATCATACCATTCACCCATATTTGTTGGGGAGTCCAATTTCCTTCTGTACGTAGAGGATGATGGTTCCATGCTTCAACAAAGAGACTCAATTGATGGTTAATTCTTGGGCAAAAAATGTAATGCAAACAGAACAGATCAATGATGTTTGTTGGCTCAAGTATACCATTTTGTTCCATGTGATAGAAAAGAGTGTAAACAAAATGACCAACGCCAACAAAGACATCTCTCCAGAGTCGCTCAATACGTTGATTATGTACAGAGAGCCCGGCGATTACGCTTCCCCTATTCAACCCCTTGTGTCTCAGCATAGACGCTGCAACATCTACATTTTCACCTCCTTTGTCTGTTCGTACCCTAGAAGGCCACCCATCTCTTTCTACTGCTGCTGCGAAAAGTGCATGCACTGTTGCAGCAAGATTGTTTGTTGAACAACTTAAACAATGAGCCATGAAAAACCATCAATCCCCCCAAGGATCACAAACCTCCAACGGATGAGGCAATGCAGTCCATCAATGTGCCAAAGAGAATTAGGTCCCCTGACACTGTAAACACGCCTTCCGATTGTGTTAAACCATCTCAAAGACCGACCTACATGATCAAATCGAACCAAACTTGATCGAACACGCTGACGTTGGACAAATACATTTCTGCTACGCAGGTGTCCCAGCATCATGCTGATTCCCGAGTTTGGAAAGCCTTTCCTTATCTCTCTAATTAATTCATCTAACTCCGAATCTGATCATGAGATGGTGGTATAACGGTTAGAGAATGACTCAAGATTCTGAACTCTACGCCAAAGAGTGGTTCTAGAAACCAATAACATTCCCGTTATTTGAGACCAGGTAAATCGCATTGCATTCCGGAGAAACTCCAGCTGAGGTAAAGAAATTTCATACCGAGGTCGGCCAACTCCTCCACTTCTAGGAGAAACTGTTGGGAACCCTCGGATAGGGTAAATAGACGTGCACGATGTAGCTACAATTGCTAACAACTCCCACCTGCTTAATAAGGTCCGTAGCTGCAATACCAGGCTTTCAAGAACCCGAATTCTTTCAGTATTTCCTGCCTCACCTCAATCCAAGGAATCGAGCAATCCACGAACTGAATCGATCGTAACCTGGAGTCGTACAATTAAGTTTTCTGCATGTTTAGGTCAGCATTTGGGAAGTAACGTTCACAGTCTCTCAACAGACAGTCCACTGATTCCAACAAATCCGTTATTGGGGAACCAACAACCACCACTACGAAAGCAATAATTAGAGCGGTTTTCATTTGAGTGTCGAAAAGTAATTGGTTTTGCACTTTCTACACGATGCGATTGGCTTAAAAGATTCGCGCCACCTTTTCATCCAATCAGAAGTAAAACCAAAGCCAATTGTGACGCGCTCGCATGCATTTTCCCGCGCTTTGCGTCAGCCACATGTAATTACTTCGAGTTTTGATTGGTTCAATGTATTGTCTGTGTCCTATGTGATTGGCCAGAGTAATTACTTTGGTTTTGGTTTTACGACACTCAAACGAAAACCACTCTAAGAACCAAACCTTACTCAACATTAATACGGCCATGGCGGCCATGCTTGATTCAAACTGAAGTTACTTTCCGGCTCTATCGGACATGAAGTAGGTTTATTACCGACTGTATAATTCGATGCCTCTTATACGACGACCTGCTATAACCCCATATACACATGTTTGTTCGTAAGGCATATATATGGGTTTTTTTGTGCGCATATATATGCGCGTTTGTAAGAAAATGGTCATATACTTGGGAATAAAACGCACGTATACGTGACAAAAAAACGCACGTATATCGTGTAGGAGGAATGATTGCAAGTATACGTGGGAAAAAACCGCACGTATATCGTGTCATAATTTTGAAACAAATGGCCGACCATAATCGGACACTACTTTCTTTGCACGCTGTTCTGAGTGATCTTGGATCACTGATCCTGATCCAGATCATCCCAAAGGAACGTGCCCTCTCTGTAGGCAGGATTATAGCTACTGGTAAAAAATTATCTGATGACAGACTGGCAGGTCTGCAGTCAAATCAACATCACACACAAAAGATGCGTTAGGCAATTTAACCTTAACCTTGCTTAATATAGACCTTATTCACAATCTCCCTTCATCTGTGCACATGCTTTAGGATCAGTGGGATAAAAACAATGTCACGTGGTATTTCAGGGGGAAACCAAGTGATAAAAGTTACCAATATGAGTAGTCACAGTTAGTTTTTTAGTCTGGCACAACAAGAAAATGATTTTTGATTAAGTCATGCAAAATGTTGTATGGTTTCAACAACATTTGCGTCATTGTTTGCTGTGTGGACATCTACATTGATCACCTCCACCCATAATTTGCCATTATCATCTTGAAGATGAAAAATTCTTTATTACCTGTTGTCTAGAATAAACAAACTAGACTGCAATTTCTTGAATTGGCAAATTTTTTCACCAGTTAGCACTTTGCCTCATCAGTCCTTAATCCTTTAAGCCCTAAAAGAGATCAGCACCAAATTTCTCCTTTTAATATCAATGCTAATGTAAAACAGGGTGGTCATGAAAATTATGGACATGATCACACAAGATGCTTGATATTATCAACTTCTCCCCACTTACTTCTGTACGAATCGAATAGGGGCAACAAATGAGAATTCAAATGTTGATCTCAGGGTCTAAAGGGTTAAAATGAGTATGTGCAAAGATAGCAGGTATCATTAAAAAGGTCTATTGAATCAGATTGCACAAATTCAAGTTAAGCTAATTAAAACATGCATTTTAATGCATGCTAATGTATTTTTCCAGTATTTTGGGTACCTACCCCAAATAAGGAATTCCAAACCTTTTGACAGCTCTGGCACTAATACACTTTAACTCTAGTTTTCTTCTCTCTGAAAGAATCATGCGAGCTTCATCAGTTCCAGCCATGTTCATGGGTGTTTTACCATCACTGCATGTTGACAAAATCATCATGTGCACCTCCATCAAACAAAACCTGCAACAATCAGTTAAAAGATGGATTTTATCGTCGCTGGGTTTTAAAGTGGCAACTATGTGAAGTACAGTATCTCCATTGCTATTGATAGCATTGACATTGAATCCTGCATTCAGAAGAAGTTTCACTGCGCCAGAGTAGGAATATGAAGAACATCTGCCATGATGTATGGCAAACCGGTGCAAGATCGTATTACTGTCACTATCTCGAAGATTCAAGTTGGAAATAGTTTTCAATAACAGTGCTGAACTTGAGAGTCTTCCTTCATCAGCACATTCAAATTTGCTTATCACAAAAACCAGTTTCTGCAAGGAATCAAAGAGATACAACATATCATACCATGAATCCTGTTCATTTGTCATCTTTCTTTGAATTTCATGGTCATGATCAAGAATTGTTTTGTCAGGAACATCGAGAAAATCCTCTTCTTTTGAAAGATCACCATTTTCAAACCTATTGAACAATGCACTGGTTATGATGCTTAAGTCAACAGCTGATACATCGCATTTTGGGGCTGTTTTCATAGCATGCCTGTACAACTTTATACAGGAAGAAAGATCATGGTCCTCATAATAACGTGCAACGTTTCTAATAACTGCAATCAGGTCTTCATAGTTTCTTCCCATGATTCTCTCTTTAATAAGAAGGCTTTCCATGATGATAGCATCCCTATCACCTTCAATCTCAGCAAGCTCCTCCAAAGTTTGACACTCTCTTCTGTTCTGATAAGCTTCAACAGGTTCCATTTCTTGTTTAAACAAAAACAAAGGATGGGAATGATCAGCAAACCTTTCTATCATGCCATGTTTGATGTACTTGAATCCTTTCAAATCATGAAGATCGGCATTTTCAAGGATACACTCCTCAATTAAAACAGATGCTCCAAGAAGTTCTAATGCATTTATCCTTTGCTCTTTTGTTATCTCTGGTTGCTTGATTAGATTCTCTACCACTGCTACATAGCCCTTACTACAACCTAGCAAGAGAGGTGTCATTCCTTGACTGTTACACAAGTTGGATGCTCCAGCATTCAAAAGTGTGCCAACCATTTCTTCAGATTTCCTCCTTACAACATTATGAAGAGCTGTATTGCCCTTTTGATCTTGGAGATCTACATAAGCACCTTGTTCAATAAGCAAAGTCACTGTTTCTTCATCACAAAACCGGCTAGCTACCAGTAAAGGGGTTTCATTGTCAATTCTTCTTGCATTAACATCAGCTCCATAATTAAGAAGAGACCTCACAATCTCAGAAGGGTCATCGCACTCATCCACAACAAAGTGAAGGGCTGTCCATCCATTGTTGTCTGTAAGAGCCACATTAGCTCCATTTTGAAGAAGAAAGTTTATTACACTGACATTTTCATTTAGACAAGCTAGCATCAAAGGGGTGCACTTATCATTCTTTGTAACAGCATTTATGTTAGCTCCACCATTAATAAGTTGTTTAACAATTAAACAACTTGAGGGATCAAAACTAACTTCAGTGGCATAGTGAAGTGCTGTTAAGCCACTGCTGTCTTGTAAATTCACATCAGCACCTTGATCAATAAGAAAGATCACTGCATCAAGGAATTGATTTTTAACAGCAGCCATCAGTGGGGTGAGGCCAAGATCATCAGCTGCATTAACATCACCACCATTTTCAACCAAGAACCTCAAAGTTTCAACGTTTCCACAAGTAGCAGCAATGAACAAAGCAGTGCAGCACTTGTAGTTGTATGGAACAGGATGTGAATCGTGTTCAACAATATGCATAAAATCTCCTCGCCCTTCAATCTCTGCTCCATACTTCAAGAGCACTTTCACACAATCAAGATTTCCATTTCGCACAGCAACTGTTAATGGCGTGACCGGCGACTCATCGCTGGCTGACAAAGGACAGCCATCACCAATATACTGAAAATCAACACCTAATACAGATATCCTCTCTGTATTATCCAGCTTCTCGAGAACCTCATTAAGGAGAACAGAATCTCCAGACTTTGCAGCTTCAAAGACCTCTTTTCTAGAATCATCAGTGTTTGTTCTTTTCCGCTGAAAAGAGGAAGTCGAAGAACGAAGACTGTTATGTGCCATGCTGTTTACGAGCAAGTTTTCGACTCCTCTCAGGCCCACCTTTCCTGTAAATTCTCCAGTTCTCTCCGAATGAAATTCCTCAAAAAGTTATCACCGACTTAGCTATACCGGTATTCGATGAAAAGCTTTCTCGCTTTGAAAGGCAGTCAGGACCAGGACAAGAAAGCAGCCATTTTGGAAAAGAGGAACAGTTCCAGTCTCCGTCGCTTGCACAGGTATACCATCCAGCTAAACAAACTCATGGAGCCCAGGCCATCATTTTACATTTTCTTGTAACTATTATCGGAGCCAATCGACGCTGAAGCTGGGCTTAATATACCTTTGTGTATTAATTTGTAGATAAGCAGTGCAGTAATTCTCAAGAACTTCCACATGTTTAATACTGAATGAAGCAGTTCGTGAAATGATTGATGTGACTTTTCCGTGTTCTCAAACACTGAACGATTTTGAAGGAGAAATTAATGAAGGATGGAAAACAAGGAGCTTTTCATCTTATATCTTTCACGTCACCTGACAAGTCTTGACGTCTTTGCCTCTAGTTTTAAAGCAGTGGCGGATTCCAGACCTTCAGATAAGGGAGGGGGGTGGCGGTCATCCATACCCTGAGATAAAGGGGGAAGACGGTCTCAAAAAAAAATTTTTTTCAGCCCTTCGGGCCTCAGTTTGGTCTAAAACTTAGGAGGGACCCTCTCCTAGCTCCGCCACTGTAGAGTTCACCTGTGCCCAAAAGGGGTCACTCCTAATTTGCTCACTAGATCCAGTAGCAGACTGCCAGGGGAGGGGCTCTGCCCCCCTCACCCACCTACCTAAATTTAAAGACAAACTCCTTAAAGTAGATATATAAATGTGATCAGTTTTTTCATAACAAAATTATATAGGGGTGCCTTTTCCCTCAGAAAGTTACTTAAAAGGGTTAAAGGGTAGACATCAATTTTCCAACCTTAAATAGCCCTTAATATGCCGCTGCTATTGGGCATTGTGTTGAGGTAAACAATCCCTGTCTGTAGTTAGTGCTTTCAGTTACCAAGGCGTTGTTTTAATCCTTTCGGTTGTGCAGCTGATTTTGGATACACCATACATATTTAATTTTATCTAATTAAAGTTGTATGGTATATTTCCTGTTAATTATTAAGCTTTTGTTTCCAACCTCTGCATCATGGGCTGTTTTCTTTGTTTTCTTCCTTGGTTTTCTTTTTCTTTTCTCACCAAACTTCTTAACATACTTATCATTTGATGGGTACAACTAACAGGTTTATAGCACTTCTAACCTCGGGGGGCAGGGAGGGGGACTCAAAGGGAAGGTTGGGTAGAGGTAACTTTAGTACAAAAATCGTTCAGTCTCTAGCCTGCAAGTAAGCTCTCTGGGGCACTCTGACACTGAGGTGGGAAAAGGAAGGAAAGTTTGTGACTATATCTCTGGAATTTGAATATCTGCATAAAAAAGTCAATGCGAAATGCTGATTGGTGGAGATGACATTAGTAATGACATCATTACCCTTGGCACGTGTTTTCCAATGTTTGTTTATATTATCACGGGTTTCTGCTTCGTGCTGATTGGCGGAAATCAGGCAGCTCAGTTGACAGGGAGACACAAAAGAATTGGAGGTGCAGGAATTCAAATTTCAGAGACATAGTTGCAAGCTCTCCTTTCTACCCCCACCAGAGTGCCCCGGAGAGCTTGCTTGCAGGCTATTCAGTTTGCTACCCTGTTTAAGAAAAGAGACTTAGTTTTATGACCCTGATTCGTTTCATTTTGCCGAAACAGAATTAAGTAATTTTTCAGGCTAGCATCATAACTAATAATTGATGGTACCACACATTATTGCCACCCTTTATACTCGTTTTAAGGATTCTGTTGCAAAAGGGCACCCTGTTCTAGATGCTAAATAGTTACCAAATCTCAGCCCCCACTCCCAAACATCAAAGGTTAAGATAAGTTATGGGACGAGGCAAAACTGGAGGTGGAATAGGAGTGGGAGCTATAAAGGTGCAAAAGTGGGCTATCACAGAAGGGAGGGAGACTGGGGTGACAACCTGGTCTCTGGTGTCCCAGGTTAAGATAAGTTATGGGAAGAGGGATCCTGAAGACAGTGGAATACGAGTGTGAGCTTAGGTGCAAAAGTGGGCTATCACAGAAGGGAGGGAGAGTGGGTGACAACCTGGTCTCTTAAGGCAGCGGAATACGAGTGTGAGCTTAGGTGCAAAAGTGAGCTATCACTGCAGGGAGGGAGAGTGGGGTGACAACCTGGTCTCTTAAGGCAGCGGAATACGAGTGCGAGCTCAGGTGCATAAGTGAGCTATCACTGCAGGGAGGGAGAGTGGGGTGACAACCTGGTGTGTGGTGTCCTTTTTCACAAAGAAAGGAATAAGGACAGCAGGGGAATTTTGCAGAATGCCAAAATAGCCACTGCACACCAAATGAATTCTAAGGGGTTAAAGAAACCTGAATGAATCAAGTGTCAGGTCCTCCCCCGTACGGTACCCAGACAGGCGTATTACTAATAAACTCATAATAATTATTACTATGCACAACTGCCCCCCACCCCTGGGGCTTCTTAGGCTGCGAAATCACCAGCATGTACAACCAAAATAAATATCATGCTAGACTGTAAATTTTCTAGCCAAGTTAAAAGTTGTGCACTATAAAAAATTTAATTCCATTCTATTTGTTTTTCTCCAGTGTTTTGAGTACCACCCCAAAAATAAAATAAGGAATTCCAAAGCTTCTGAGAGCCCATTCGTTTCTACCCTGCAAGAAGAGGTTTAGTTCCGGAACTACGCGACTGACATGCAATGCGAATGACTTAATTCTTAAACGCTAAAATACTCAAGAGACAAACCTATGGTCCCATGGAAATTCTTTGCCAATGGATCAAAGACTTTTATCAGCTCTGTACATTGATCATACAGCCACTGAACTTGAACTGATTTGCATACAAACTTGCCTTGTTTTTATTTTTCTATCAGATGACCAAAATAATGCTATATGCTTTGCAATATGCATTTAAGAATCAAAATTAATAGGACAAACAAAAAAAACATGAAGACAAGAGAGAAGGAAGTAGGAGTTCAAACGGTGACTAACATCAATTCCCTCCTAAAGATACCCATAATATTGGCAAGAGATTAGCCTGCATAGCAAGCGTTTCTGTGTGGTTTAAGAGTAAAGAGCTCGGAACAAGAGTCAAAGACCGTGCAAAAAATGGCGTGGAAAAAACCGAAAATCCCGTTCCTTGTTTTTTTCTGCTCCGAAACTAAACAGAAACGCTTGCTATGCAGGCTAGCAAGAGATTAGGTTTTGAGAATTAATAAAATGATCACCAGAGAGAAAATCATTTGATCTTTTATTAAATTCTCTCAACACATTCTTTAAGGAAATGTATAGAGATAAGTTTGGAGAATTTGTATGTGGATATTGTGGCTTAAAGGGTTGATGGCTGATCACCCAATAAGTTCCTAACCCTGCCCAGCAGGACTTAACTTGAGTAGCACACTAAGTATCACTAGGCTTTGCAAGACACATAATTTATTTCTAGGTTTTATGGCCACCACTAAAAGAACTTCTAACGCCACAAAATTATCACTATGTACAACAACAATACATTAAAGCATGCTCAGGTTATTAACACTGTGCAAATTTTTTCTAGTTAATGTCTTATTAATTATGCACATTAATTAATGCATACTAATGTATTTCTCTAGTGTTTTGGGTACCAAGCCCATATAGGGGATTCCAAAAATTTTCACTGCTCTGGCACAGATACACTTTAACTCTAGTTTTCTTCTCTCTGAAAGAATCATGCGAGCCTTATTAGTTTTAGCCATGTCCATGGGTGTTTTACCATCATTGTTGACAAAATCATGATGAGCACCTCCATCAAACAAAACTTCCAAAGTGTCAGTTAAAAGATGGATATTGCTGACAGCTAAATGAAGTGGAGTATTTCCCTTGTTGTTAATGGCATTAACATTAAATCCTGCATTCAAAAGTAGCTTTGTGCCAACATGGCTGTATTGTCGATCTATCGAACACTGTACGCGGTGCAAAAATGTATTCCCATCACAATCTTGAGAATTCAAGTTGCAGAGAGTTTTCATAAACAGTTCTGCATTTAAGAGTTTCCTATAGTCACCACAGTTAAGCCTCCTGATTATCCAAACAAGTTTCATTAAGGCATCATGCTCATGTTTTAAGAACCATTCAGAAACTTCCCTTTTGTTTGGACTCATCTTTCTTTGCATCTCAAGTTCACAACTCCAAGCAAGAATTACTTGATCCATCCTTTCAACAAGAAGATCCTCTTTTGCAAAAGTAGACCATACTCGCAATATATTAAAAATAAGGTTTGTGAAATCATATGACACTTCTTCATGGCAGCTATGGGCTATTTTGATTGCATGTAACTGCAGTGAGACATATGCTGAAAAATTATTTCTCCGGCAGTAAGCTAATGAAACATTTCTAATCGGTCAAGTAAACAACCTTTATTGTTGATTCCAAGGATTCTTTCTCTAATGACAAGGCTTTCCATGATGATAGAAACCTTGTCACCCTCTATCTGAGCAAGCTCCTCAAGAGTTTGACACCCTTTTCCATTCTGATAGGCTTCCACAGGTTCCATTTGCTGTTTCAACAATGGATGGGAAGGATCAGCAAACCTTTCTATCATGCCACATTTGATGTACATGAGTCCAAGCTTAAAACCAGAAGGGCTTTGCGACTTTAAGCAAACAGAAGCTCCAACTAGCCCTAGAGCATCAATCTTTTGCTCTTTTGTTATTTCCGGTCGATGGTTGCGTAAAAAATACTCCACCATTGAATAATTACCCATTTTATTAGCTGCCAGCAAAGGCGTCAATCCCTGACTGTTACACAGTTGGGATGCTCCAGCATACACCAAGATGACAGACATATCACGCGAATTTACGGCATAGTGAAGAGCTGTGTTACCACTTTTGTCTTGAAGATCTAAATTGGCACCATTCTCAATAAGCAACTTAAATTTTTCAGATCTTATATCACCACTTCCTTGGAAGGTAGCTAGCATCAGGAGGGTCTGATTCATCTCATTTACTCTTGCGTTAACATCAGCTCCATTTCTAATCAGGGAACTTAAAATTTCACATGAAGTTTTCAAACCAACATCAAAAAGAAGTTGAAGGCATCTTTGAGCATATCTGTCTTCAAGATCTAAATAAGCTCCATTTTGAAGAAAATAGTTTACTACATTGAGATTGAGACGATTGACAGCTATCATCAAAGGGGTGAGGTTATCTGCATCCTGAATATTAAAACAACACAAATGTATGGCATCAAACGAACAGTAATACATTGCAACATAGTGAAGGGCTGTATAACCTTTTTTGTCTTGTAAATTTGCATCAGCACCTTGATCCATGAGAAATTTTACTGCATCAATGCGTCTGTATCTCACGGCCATCATCAGCGGGGTGTATAATCCCTCTGAGACTGCATTGATATCAGCGCCAGTTTCAAGCAAAGAACTCAAAATCTTAACATTGCCATTAACAGCAGCAACCAATAAAGGTGTATTTTGAGTGAGACAGGAGGATACCCAGGTGCATCAACTCTAAAACCTCCTCGACCTTCAATGTCTGCTCCATACTCCAGAAGCAATTTCACACAATCGACATGCCCGTTTTGAACAGTAACTATTAACGGTGTGATTGTGTGACCTTCAGTATTTGTAACTGCATTCAAATCAGCTCCACTATCAAGCAAGCAACTCAAAATCCCAACATTTCCATTAACAGCAGCAGCAACAAATAGAGGTGTGCAAGCTTCAAATGAAACAGAGTGAAATGGATAATCTTTAGAAACATATTTGAAATCTCCTCGAACTTCAATGTCTGCTCCATACTTTAAAAGCACTTTAACACTTTCAAGATTTCCACTTTGAACAGCAGCTATTAATAGTGTGATTGTGTGGCCCTCAGTATTTGAAACTGCATTCACATCAGCTCCATTGTCAAGCAAGTAACTCAGAATCTCAACACTTCCATTAAAAGAAGCAACAAATAAAGGTAAATGTCTGAACATGTCATCTCCACCTTCAATGTCTGCTCCATAGCTCAGAAGCACTTTCACACAATCGAGATTTCCATTTTGAACTGCAACTACTAAAGGAGAAACAAGAGAGCTAGACTTCTCTTTTCCAGGTAACGAACAGCCATCAAGAATGTACTGCTTATCTAATACAAAAACTCTTTCTGTAAAATCCAACAAATGAAGGACCTTATCAAGGCGCACAGCATTTCCAGATTTCGCAGCCTGAAAGACCTTTTGTTTTGGGTCACCGGTGTACGTCCATCTCTGCCGGAACCGATAATAAAGTTTATGTGCCATAGTGAGCATGAGTTTCTTCTTTCGGAACAATTTTCCTGCAATTTATGCCTTTCTCTTCAAGGTTTAATTTTCCCATTTTCAGGGAGATCGAAAATAGAGCGTTTTCTTTGGTATGCGGAACCAGCCACTCTGAAGTGTCAACATGACACAGCTATTTTGAAAACAGAAATGCCCTGGGAACGGTCCTGGGAAATCCTGGGAACGAGCTGGGAACGAGTGAAAAGGGTCGTGAAAGGTAAGCTGGGGGGGATCAGCTGGGATTGCTGGGAGCAAGGGAGCTAATAGCTGAGTCATTGACAGGTTCCGCATACCAACTAAAACTTCTCCCGATCTCCGCCTGAAAATCGGAAAATTAAGTGGTGAAGAGAAGGGTAGAAATTGCAGGAAACCCAAAGAAAAAACTTAGTTTCACTATGGCACATAAGCGTTTTTCTCGGTTTCGGCGGAGAACAAACACCGCTGATCCAAAACAAAAGGTCTTTCAAGCTGCAAAATCTGGAGATGCTGTGCTCCTTGATAAGGTCCTTCAGACGTTGGATTTTACGGAAAGAATTTTTGTATTAAATAAGCCGTACGTTCTTGATGGCTGTTCGTTACCTGGAGAAGAAACGTAGCCTGTGAACAGGCCTTTAGTCCCTTCCCTTTCCTCGCTATTTTTCCCCAAACAGAGAGCCTGTTCACAGGCTAGAAGAAACGCCACAAGTCACTCCTTTACTAGTTGCTGTTCAAAAGGGACATCTCGATTGTGTAAAATTGCTTCTGAAGTATGGAGCAGACATTGAAGGTCGAGGGCGGAAGGTTATAATAATAAGAGTGATTTTAGTATTCAGGGTGCAGGTAACCTCACTCCTTTGATAGCTATCTCATTAAAATCTTGTTGGGGCCACGTTACCTAACACCTTTTTAGTCCTGTGTTCTCAGTTGGGCTATTTTCAACTAAAATTCACGTACTTTCTTACTTTCAAACTAAAATTTCTTTCGACAGAATCTTAGGAAAATTTGCTTTCTTTCAAACCATTGTTATACCTTTTTGTATGGGAATTTAGCTATAGAGATATTTTAAGTTTTGCAAATTTTTTTCCGCACGCAGCTGAACTCAACTCAATTCAGTATCGTTTGCTCTATCAGCTCTAACATCTCCTAACACCTATTTTTACGGATAAGAATACTATCGACCTTTAATTCTTAGAAACTACTTAACTAAATAGTTTAGTATGATTACAACCACTTTGCAAGCTTAACTTGGCTTAGTACATCTTGAAAAATCTTGGAACTTAGAAGAACTGAAAAGCTCAGGAATAAACCGTTGTTCAACTCAGCTTCACTCTAAATCAGAGAGATCTCTTTTAGCCCCAAAAATAGGGCCGTTTCGGTGAGTAAAATACAGTCCTATTTTTGAGTCTAATTTAGTTCCCTTGAATCAGGGCCAATACAGTCCAATTAGCTAGGACTGATTTTGTGATAATTGACAGGAAAGATCTATAAAGTTCCTTCAAAAGAAGCGTCTTGCTTGTGTATAGATCTTGTCACGGTTTTTGACGCCATCTTGACGAGTAGGCAAACATGTGAGAAATTACAGTGTTTGTATGAGAATCAAATGTCAAATAATTTCCGCAAAACGGCTTTCTGAAAAAAAATATAAATTGTTATAAAGCTACAAAGCAAACAATTGTACTAAAAAAATTTAGGAGCGTATCTGTGCTTAAATTTCTCCAGAGGCTTGCTTAGATTTTCCATGTAATTTTTCCCGGGACTTTCTTACAGACACATGTATAGAAAATTTAAGAAAGTGGTTCTAGGTCTTCTAGCGCATGAAACGCCCTCAATTTCTCAGCAGAGTCCTTAGGAGTGAAGCTTGAGTTTACAATTCATTTTTTTTTTAGAACAGCAGTTCTACGGAAATTATTCGACATTAGATTCTCATACAAACACTGTAACTCTCACGCGTTTGCCTACTCGTCAAAACGGCGTCGAAAACTGTGACAAGGTTAATTATATTCCCGCCTCAAGAGATCAGCCTATATATATGACTCTTTACTCCCTTTGGTCCAAGTGCGTAGTATAGCGGGTTTGATGATCCTTCGATTTTCTTAGAAGTAGCGACACATATCAGTATTCCTCTTTAAGATTGACGCAGGAGTTCAGACTAAATTAAATCCAGCTTTGTTTTTTCAACACCGCTCCTTAAAGGTATGGAATATGAGCTTTGTTCCTTGGTTTTCTGTTTCTTATCTCACACCAAACTTCTTAACATACCTATCATTTGATAGGTGCAACTAACAGGTTTATAGAACTTCTAACCGGGGAGGGGAGGGAGGGGGGGGGGGGCAAAGGTAAGTTTGGGTAAAGGTATGCTTTAGTGCAAAATCTTTCAGTTTTATGACCCTGATTCGTTTCACTTGGCACGCAGAATTAACTAATTTTTTAAACTAACATCATAACTAATTGATGGTAAAACATATCATAACCAACCCACGCACTCTTTTTAAGGATTCCGTTGCAAAAAGACGCCCTGTTCAAAATGCTCAATAGTTATAAATTTAATTTCACAATTGGAGTCCCTACTCCCGAACATTACAGGCTAAGATAAGTTATGGGAAGAGGCAAAGCTGGAGGCGGAATAGGAGTGAGAGCTAATAGGTGCAAAAGTGAGCTATTACTGCTGCAGGGAGGGAGAGTGGGGTGACAACTTGGTCTCTGCTGTCCTTTTAACAACGAAAGGAATAAGGACAGCACGGGAATTTTGCACACCGAATGAATTCTACCTTTGGTAATTTGGTAATTGTACACATCACACCAAAGAGAATACTGAAAGCATCACAATCAGATGAAAATGAGTATTGTGGAACCCTAGTTAGCTTGCAAAGACTGCCCTCAGTTTATATTGGCACTTTATACCTTAATTTAAGGGTAAATTAAAAACAATCAGAGGAACATTTGAGAGGCCACGAAGACCTTCAACAATTTATTACATGCACTTGTGCGTTCATTAATTAACTATAAAAAAGCTAACAAATAATTACGAATAGTGCATAATTCACCCGATTAGTTAAACATTTATTTTAGCAGCTCAAGTCCGTCACAGCGGTCCTGTTCTAAGGTAACAGTGCATGTGAAATCCATCAATGGCGGGATCACTCATCACTAAGAAAAGAAAATCTTCGATTAGTAAAGTTTTTATAGCTGTACCGGCTACAATGCAGGTGCTAATTGCCAAATTACTGAAGGGACCTCTTAAGAAATGTCACGCATAAAAATAAAAACAAAAGCACAAACACTTTGTTCTGTACGCTGAGGCGAAGTCAAAACTATAGTCAATGAAGTACTCCATCTCAAAACAAACAGGCTTCTGAATGTCTTTCATATCCCTGACTCGCATTCTTTTTCTGGATTAGACTTTCTTCAGCTGAGCGATACAGACGCAGAACTGAGAACATTTTCATGGCCTTGACTACGCAAAATACGCAACACACCTTAACAAATTGTGTTATTTTATGTTTGTAATGGGCTTTTCACTTGGGATTGAAATCGTTTACTTTCTCATGGTGTGAAACGTTTAGGCAACATAGACCTGGGACTTGAAAAAGTTGTTTATGCATCGATCAGTCGTTTGTGGCATTTCATTTATTTGGCTTTTATGTTTCAAAAGTTTGGGATTTATTGCGTGACAGTGAAAACGATCCACTTACAAGGTGTTAAGACTATAAAAAAATAAGCGATAGAATCATAATCATATTGTAACATATGTATAACATACACTTAATGGATGCCGGGGGAACAGCAACACACTTGACCTTTTTGGCACGTGTTCTCGCAAAATGATACGCTGCAGTTATGCTTGCCCGCGTAAATACAATTGTCACATGACGTTGCACAGCACTCAGGGCCGTCAGCTGTGAACAAGTGAGATAAAAGTCATTACAAAATAAAATGTTTTAATCTCAGTAAAACGAACGAGAAGCGGTTAGTCTCAGTCCGGCGTTGGATTCCTATCCAAAGTACTGACGCCTGGAATTTGCAAGACGAAACAAAAACTTCTGTTGCTGCGCTTCTCAAAGTAGTCTAATATCACAAATTCGTTGCCTATAACAAATAACTTTTAAGCGCCGTGGGCCTTAAAAGCTTCGAAAGATACCGTGTTGAAAGATTCTCTCATAGTCATAGAGAAAGTTGTAGGCCTTCTCTTTTTCCTGTGGGCGACGCAGCCGTGCCCTGTGCACAGCTGAGCTCACCAGAACTACCAGCAGCATGCAAATGAAAAACTTGGCAGCCATTGCTTGTAGCTTAGAGAACAGCGTTAAACCTGGTTAAAGAAAAGGAAATATCTCGGCTTACAAGCAAAATCTTGTCACAAGAGAAGAAGAAAGTACTAGGGGCATGAGCTTCAAAATGGATACTAACTAGACTACTTTCTACTGAACTGATAGTTAATTTCGGTCGTAAACAAATCTATGTTTAGGGCACAATCAAGAATTAAGAGTAAACTTCAACTGGATCACAGCTCCAGTCCCACACCGGGAACTGAACTAATGAAGATCTACTTGGTTGTTTCCCTTTCATTCTTTCACTATTGGCATAAAATTCGTTTCTAAACAAATCTATGTTTAGGACACAACTAAGAATTAAGAAACAAACTTTACCTTGTAAGACGTAAGGTGCTTAAAACGTTTGTTGGATCACAGCTCTGTCCTGAACTGATAAAGATACACTAGGTTGTGTCGTTTTCATTCCTTCATTATTGACAGTGGCTCCGCCCACGTTTTCGTTCTGAAAATTAGAGCTGCCCTTTGACATACTTCAATCACAA